TAAACTAAAGTCTCGTACATTCCTTACTTATTTAAACTAAAGTCTCGTACATCTCCTTACTTATATAAAACTAAAGTCTCATACATTTCCTTACTTATATAAAACTAAAGTCTCATACATTTCCTTACTTATATAAAACTAAAGTCTCGTACATTTCCTTACTTATATAAAACTAAAGTCTCGTACATCTCCTTACTTATATAAAACTAAAGTTTTATATAAGTAAGGAAATGTACGAGTATTAAGTTTTTTTCTTTGGTATATGTTGGTCGCCAAAATGATAGCACAGTGATTGGTCTTATAAATCTAAAATATATTGTGAGAAACTGCGTAAAGAGATGGTGAACACTACACATTCAGCTATTTCTTTTGGCTAACTTTGACAAAACCTTCGAGTTCCACAAGTCCTAACTAAAAGTGATGATAAATTTTATCAAGTAAATGTTACTTTTTAAAGCAGTCAAAATGAGGATGCAGCAGTGGGTTAACTAACCCAAGGCATTATTTGATTCAATAAACTTTATTCATTTGTGTTGTTATCCTTTCCTTGTACAGTGAATTACATGTTAAACTTCTTTAAACAGATTTTGATGATGATGATCCTCTGGCTGGGTTGTTATCTGATGATGAAGATATTCCCCAGAAATCATCTTCTGGTAAAAGAAATACTTCATTAAAAACAAAAAATGCAGATCTTCACGAAGCTGAAAAGGATAAGGGTTTGTAAAAAATTCTTCAATATTAAACATTTTTTGTGTTAATCATTTATGTGTCAACAAATGGCAAGTTATTATTTTACACTCGTTACACAGTGGTCTCGGTGTTACACAGTGGTCTCGGCGTTACACAGTGGTCTCGGTTGTGATAAGTATTTTGGCAAAAAATGTATTTTAATGAGGTACTGGCTTGACTTGAGTAAAGTTAAATAGGCATTACATGTTAACATTAAAATTTTATCTTTGAAACAAAGTATTCTATTATTTATGTAATTTGTTCATTGACCAATAAAAACAAAATGGTTCTGTAAAGTTTGTAGTATAAGTTATTTTTGATAGTGACTATGTTTAGTGTTTGAGTTTACAAGTATTACAGTGGTTCTGTAAAGTTTGTAGTATAAGGTATTTTTGATAGTGACTATGTTTAGTGTTTGAGTTTACAAGTATTACAGTGGCTCTGTAAAGTTTGTAGTATAAGTTATTTTTGATAGTGACTATGTTTAGTGTTTGAGTTTACAAGTATTACAGTGGTTCTGTAAAGTTTGTAGTATAAGTTATTTTTGATAGTGACTATGTTTAGTGTTTGAGTTTACAAGTATTACAGTGGTTCTGTAAAGTTTGTAGTATAAGTTATTGTAAGAACAGAGATAGAGGATGATAACTTGTCTTGTCAAAGGCGTTTTAAAGTAATTGAACCTACCTTTGTGGACTTTGACAAAAAAAAAAGATAATTATTTAAAGTTCTGTATACAATGAATAGTGTAGCGAAGTTTTGTACATACATTTGACTTGTTTTGAAAAGATTATTTTAAAACAAGTGGATTGTGTGCTATATGTTTATTGTTGAAATTTATTGCCAACGAGTCACAGACACCTACTGGAAAGAATCCGGCCTAATAAAAACATTATTTGTCATTATTGTCTTAGTCTTAGATGTCTAAGAGTTATTTTTATTAGATTTTAAAATTGACTACATCTTTTTTTTTTCATGATTTAGACTTTGGAGTCAAAGCTAAAGAAAGCTTCTTTCCGGACAAGGGTAAAAGTTCTGAGACTCCTTTACCACAACCTAAGAAGGAGGAAAAAATTGAGGAGTCTCAACCTAAAAAATCTAATTCTCCTCCACAACAATCTGGCAGAAGAGGAGTGAGGAGGCAGCTAAAGAATGATATTGGCTTTGGAGATGATGATCTTGATATATTAGGAGGAATGGGTCTGAGTGAGGAAACTGGCAAAGAGAAAGAGGACAAACCAAAAAACAAATCATTTCTGGATGACCTACTTGGGGAAAAACCAGAAACAAAGGAAAAAAGTAGGACGAAGGAATTTGTTTTAGATGACAAATACAAAAATAACAAATCTGAAGGTGATTATCAAACAAGCAAAGTTTACTCTGAATTCATTTGAAAATAAATTGAATATCCAATAAGAATATGATTGTATTTTTCAGTAATAATTCATATCTGTATAGAGATGAAACTAACTGGAAGCAGAGTATCATTGTACGGCAGTTTATTTAGCTGGTGTGAAGATGTTTATAACAAGAAGAAAGAAATATTGATGTTTACTCTTCAATTGTTCAGTGGTTTCCACTCTTTCTTGATTAAAACATTTAAAGATTATCACAGATCTTCAGGTCATAACCAGGCTCAAACTTTATAAAGATAGATTCATTGTAGTATTTTATGTAACAGTGTATGACTAGTTTTAGTTAATTCTGTGCTTTGTTTATACTTCATTTACAAGCCTCATCAGCTTTTAAAACTCCACTCCTACTGTCTGTTACTCTAAGTAATTGCTATTGTTTATAGTTATTAATTCTCTATTTTTCTTTGTTTGGTACAATTATTTATTTTGAGAGTAAAATAACTTTTATGTTTTTTAACTTTTTAGGATATTATTACATTGGTCTTGTGTAATTTTCTACTTGTACTGTTTACCTCCTCGTGATCCAAGTTTTCTTTGTAGCTGTGTTGAACCTTCAAGTTAACTATGATATATTGAATAATTTGTATTTATAAGTTTAATAATAACATTGACACAAACAGTTGTCAGGTGGAATTAAAACTTGGATAACATCTCTTCAAGTTCTCATCACTTTTCTAGCATGATTACTGGTTATAAAATGTATAATTCAGAAAACAGCAGTGAAGGACTGACGTGTAAGTTTTACGTTGTGTTCTAGAGGACAATGAATTCCATTTCGGTGGTTACAACCCATCTGCTGCCTCTGAACAGCGATCTGGATCAGGACCCAAGAGATCTGTCAGGTGAGAAGGTTGTTCCTTTTGTTGTAAAAACCATTTGAAAAATTAAATAACTAATGAAGCAAGTCTTGTATCGTGTATTAAATACACGATTGTATTTATCCAATAGACTTTAGTTTTATATAAGTAAGGAAATGTATGAGACTTTAGTTTTATATAAGTAAGGAAATGTATGAGACTTTAGTTTTATATAAGTAAGGAAATGTATGAGACTTTAGTTTTATATAAGTAAGGAAATGTAAGAGACTTTAGTAAAAAATAAATAAACACGCTAAATAAAAACTAACATAAATAGGATCACTTTACACTTTTTTCTTTGTACAAACTAGTCCACACACCTCTG